CTGACGTCACGATTGTACCGAACGTTGAACTCGAATTTCTATTTTATTGCGACACTAAACTTGCCAAAACGTTTGAAATGAACAGTTTCACATATTTTGTTTTAAAGTCGCCGGAGTTATAAAGATTCTTCCGTATAAAATAATTGAGTAAAGTCAGTCTATGCATACATTATAATAAAAATGTCGACAGGTTTAAATAAATGCACTCTTGTAATTCGTATAAAACAACACACGTTTAGGGCTTGGTAAGAATGTTTATCAACAATTAGATTAACACATTCTTTCGTGTTGTTTACTGCAATTTTTGTAAACACCACCGTACCGGTTTAGGGTTGAATTAGTAAACACGAGCAAAATTTAAATATATTTCATAGTATCATAACTTAGAGCCGCGACATCAATGTTTAATTAACACTAGATTTACGGAACCCGTCAAAATGACGGATCACCAATTTTTTAGTTTACGATTATTCAGATTGTGAAGACACATTCATGAGTTATTTGTTCCACGTATGTCTTACTTGCGGCAAATGTTACAAAGACATTCGTCAAAAATCAGAACAAATGTTTCATCGTCGCTTGCTCGCAAACTAACTCGAAGCATCCGTTTTTAGTGTTCCGTAAATCTAGTGTTAACACGCGTCGATCGTAAGCTCTGAAACATGTTTTCGTCACGGAACGACGAGTCACGACTGACTCGAACACAGCGTGCCGCATCTTGGAAGAGACGCGACCATCGAAATCTCGAGGAGAAATTAACGACGATCGAATGCGACTGCCTGGTGGCTTTTGGGATCGACGAGTTGTTTGCGGCCGATCAGAGAGCTTCAGACGATCGACGGTTAGATCGCGCCGGAAAGCGAAGAACGGCGGCGGGCGGTTTCGGCGGGCAGGATCGCGCCGGTCCATCGTTCCAGGATTTACGAGCCGCTCGAATACACGCGTGTGTACCAAAACGGATAGCTGACCCACCATCAGCAGTTCAGAGCTATATGAAACCCTGACGTGGCTGGCAGGGTTGTAATTGTCGCCCTTTGTCCGTCACACGAGCCCGTGGCCCGACGGTGGCGGCGAACCGCAAGCTTTCCAGGCCGTGCCGGAACCGCCGAACTATGCCGGCATTATCGCATCAGCTGCTTAATCCCTGGTTTATCGTCCGCGATTACAGGCCCATAAATCGGGACCGCCGTATCGTTTCCGTCCGCGCAAACATCGTTATTCTTCTCGGCATCGAGAGACGGCCGCCGACAATTTCTTTCCTCGCGGCTTTGTTTCCTCGCCGGCGCGACGCGTCTCGACGCCGCTCGACGCGACCGCTTTCGAGTATTCCGCCGTTTAAGCGGTTCTTTGTGGCCGAGGGCTCGAGTGTCGGGCGCCGGTGAAGAGCGGTTTCCTGCTGCGCTCGGTATTTTCGAGCGAATCGAGAGGAATTTCCTCTTGCTCGGCCAACGCCGGCAATTCCTTCGAACCCCGACTATCTCGTATCGCGGTCGAAATTGCACCGGCGGTGAGTTACGTGTTCGTAACAGGTTACGAAGAACGAGTTTCGCCGAGGCCAAACGGGGAAACTCTCCCCTCTTCTCTCTCTCTCCCTTTCTCTGTGCCCCTTTCTCTCTCTCTTTCTCCTCCCACTCCTTTTCGACTGCCCTTTTTCCCTCCGTTTAACTGTTTCCCTTCGGTGCACTTCTCGACCGGCATAAATACACCCAGGCGAAAAGCGTCTACCAAATGTTGCAGGTATTATGAAAACCCATAAACTAGACTTCGCCCGGCGGACGTTTCTACGGGGCCTCATACCCCCCCGAGGACCGATCGATAACTCCCGGTACAAAGACGATTCTCAACGTTGAATACGTAGCGAGCATCTTTGCCGTGAGACGCTTTACCCGGAGACAGTTTACGTCGTCTCGGCCCTTTGACGCTGGCGTCGTCGTCGGGTGTCAACTATGCTCACGTGTCTCCCAACGCACCGTCAAAGGGCCAAGGTGGGATCTCTGATATTCGAGGCGCAATTGCTCGGTGAACTGACGAGTTTTGCATCATTGAGGATTTTATTAAATGCGAGCTTTCGAGTTGGCTAGTTTCTACCGGATTATGATGCTCGATTAACCCTTTGCACACGAGTGGCAACTGCAGGGCTTGAAGGGGCTCGGAATGAATGTTTGGCATTTTTGATAATTATCACTCGTTCTCAGTATATTTTGGTTTTTAAAATTTTGTGTGACTTTTTCTGGAATATGTGAATTGATTAATTATGGAAAGCAGATTTCTTTTTTCTTGTCCTTTCGTTGTAAAATAATATAAGATAATTATCACTCGTTCTCAGTATATTTTGGTTTTTAAAATTTGGTGTGTCTTTTTCTGGAATATGTGAATTGATTAATTATGAAAAGCAATTTTCCTTTTTCTTGTCCTTTCGTTGTAAAATAATATAAGATAATTATCACTCGTTCTCAGTATATATATTTTGGTTTTTAAAATTTTGTGTGACTTTTGCTGGAATATGTGAATTGATTAATTATGGAAAGCAGTTTTCTTTTTTCTTATCCTTTCGTTGTAAAATTGTACGCAGTACAATGGATCGTGAGTGTATTTGTAATTTCAAAAGTTTTCGCATTTAGTTATTTTGACCCCTCCGGTAGAAATAGGTCAATTGCTTTATCACGTTTCAAAATAACTTTAATATTATCAAATTCCTTTATATTAAAAAAAGAAACTGTTAAAACTGTAACAGTTGCACGAGTCACAAAATTCCATTTCGTCACCACAAAATACACCTAGTTGTATTAAATGGAAAAACTATTTTGAAGATTTCGAGTTAAAATGTCTCCGACCGCGAAGCGTTAAGAATCGGCAGATAAAATAATAGACGGCCCTAAATTCTTGTTTACGATCGTAGAAAATCCCTCCTTCGTCTACCGTCGATATTTATTCGCGCGGCGAGCGAAATCGGCATCGCTCGAGCGATTTCGAGGGGAAAAAAGCAGCCCGAGCAAAAAGAGAATAATTCTCCTGGAGAGAACAACGCGGTGCGGCCCAGTTATTGCAACTGCCTGCACGGAAGCTGCGAAGTAGCGTTCCGCGAGGTGTGAAGTTATTTTTTTCACGCACCGGGATCGACAATTTCGCGACGCGACGGCTTCACGCACGATCGACGTTATGACAACACCGGCCGGGTAACTCGAACGTGCTCGTGTATATCGACCCCTTTGCTCCGCTTCGAGCCGATTCCATCCGCAGGTGTTCGCCGTTCGTTCGGTTGGTCGGTCGGGTCTGTCGATCGATCGATTGCCGGAAATCCAGTCGGCCGGCCGGAACAAAACGCGTCCGACGCTCTTTTTGTTTCGAAACCGCCCCCGCCGTCCTCTGTGTCGTCGATCGACGGCCACCGGTAACGAAGCTGCCGGAGCCGGACCCACCGAATCCTAGAATTCCGGCGTCCCCTTTGAAACCGAAATACCGATACGCCCCGACGCACCCCCGAACTATTTTTCGAACGTTTTCGCGCTACACTGTGTTACCGTCGAAATTATTCGTTTGTTGCACGGATTACAACGTCTTGCATCGTTTTCCACAGCGTCGCTCGTGCTCGAATTGTTCCCGCGATTTCCGTCGAAGCACGTTCTTCCAAAAGATTAGAATATAGTAGAATGGAAATTTTGCTGGTTCGCAGAAGCATTTAATATAAATTAAATTAACTCTTTCCATTCAAATGGCGACTCCAAAGCGCCATTAAAAATGGTTACGTCGCGTTTCAAAATAATTTTATTAATCGAATTTGTTCGTATTTGAAGAACTGTTGAAAGGACAACTTGTTGCATCGATCACAAAATTTAATTTCATACGTATAAAATGCATTAGGTTATATAAAATGGGAATACGGTGGGTCACAAAAATTGTATGAAATTTTCCGTTAATTTGGCTTTGAGTGCAAAGGATTCAAAGCGACCGACTTGAATTTTTTTTAACCATCGTTCGTCCCTTGTGTCAATTTGAAACAGTTTTCGTGTACATATACTGAAGAAGTGATCTATTCTATAGATCGTTTTATTTGTACTGAAAAACGTGAACAATCAACGTTAAAACTTGTCTCACCTCATCTAAGGTTTTCGTTCTTAAAACAGGAATTTACGAAATTAATTATTTATTATTCCATCTTATTCATTTTTTACCATTGTGTAAAGCTGATTGCTTTACGCAATTTCAAAGTGCAACTGAATCAGCAGATATATCCAGTAATTACCCGTAAAAACACCTTCGCAATCTGAATAATTATAAAATAAGGACTCTGAAGTCCGCAATTTATTTTGTCATTTTTTGTCATACGTTTTCGGTAATTAGTGTTGGACGAAATTCGGCGTTCTTATTAATTTATAATAGATTCGTTGCTGGCACCATTTGCTGATAATAAGGAACAGTAATTTCCGTGAATCGTTTCAAGGCATTAAACAAAGTAAATCATTCTAAGTAATTGTGTAATTAAAACAAAGTATTTTGATTATTGTACAGTAAATTAGTCCGTCTAACATTTAACAAAAATTCAAGTTATTTAGTTCAGCTTGAGAAAGGTTATAGCGTTTTACGAAGTACGAATAAATTAGTTCCAAAAGTGTCTCGCAATCTAGAAATAGAATATTCCTGAGATCATTTGAAGTAACTTTTTCCTCAGCGAAAATGCAATCCGCGGCTTCGTTTACGAGTTATTAACGAAAAACACCGACCAATGAGAGACGAGCTCGGCTGCCGCGAGGCGTGGCGCCAATGAGCGGATCTGGGCTTGCTGCGCTCGTTGGCTGGGCCGCCTCGCGCCAGTCGCGCTCGCCTCTTATTGGCCACTGTTTTTCATTAATAACTCGTAAACGAAGCCGCGGATTGCATTTTCGCCAAGGAAAAAATCACTTCAAATGACCTCAGGAACCTCCTGTTTCCGGATGTTGCGAGAACATTCTTAGAATACCCTGTATATCAGCGCAGATACATTTTGAATGAAGATGACTTACTGGTCTCCGGAATTCTCGTATCGTGAGCGACTAGAAGCTGGGCCGCGAGGGAGGCCCTGTGTCCGGAAGTACTCTCGGCCACGCACTCGTATGTACCACTGTCCTCTGTCTTCGCGGAGGATATCACCACTTTCGATCTCCGTCTGCAAACAGATGATACACTTCCGTTAAAATCGCTGGCGTACGAACACCGCGACGCCAATGGCTTTAATTCAGGGGAAGAGCCCGCTCGCGGATCGCATGTCCTACAACGGATTAGCTCGTTCATTATCTTTTCCGTGAAGTACACGGATACCCGGGGACGGTTCCCGTCCCGTGTTCCATCGTCTGCTCTCCGGAGATGATTCCGCAAAGTTCGGGGCAAACAGGAAGTTTTGCCGCACTCGCCGAGGAGAAGAGAGAGAGAGATATATATCCCGAATACTCATACTATCGTCGGGACGAGCCACCGCGAGCGGGTTTAGAGCAGCCTGAAATTTCTGGACTTCCATCCGAGGGAAACTCGTTTTTCCGTATGAAGAAGCCGAAACTTCCTGCCAGCGGCCCCCGACGAACTTGGCTCCGAGACGCGCTGGCAAATTTAATAACTTTTCGAACGTCGCGGATTACTCGCGGCCGGAATTCGGATCTAGCGCAAGTATCGATGCCGATCGCAGCGACCCGCCTTCTAGCCTGCCGCAGGCTCACCCTGCACCCTGAACGAGGAGAATGTCCCGCGTCGTTCGACGAATCGTCTACAGAAAATTCCTGCGAGCTCCGCAATTTCCTAGCTGATTGTAGCGAGACCGCGATGCAATTTATTAAGCTTCGACCGGACCTTCCGTTCGGGCTGGAGCCTCGCGCGAGAACGTAAATTGAAATCCGGGGAGGTCAACTAAATTTCGGTAATCAGCGAGGCGAGCCGGAGTTCCATTAGGGATATCTTCTTTAGTGGGAGATTCGTGAAGAATGTATGTGTAATGTATTTGAATAACGAAGTTGATATTTTAAGCCTTTGCACTCGAGAGGCGACTCTGAGGCACCACTAGAATTGTTGTATCACGTTCCAAGATAATTTTCATATCGACAAAGTTTAGATTTAAAAAATTGTTGAAAGTGTAACTGTTGTACGAGTCGCCATAAAACTCAATCTCATATGCATAAAATGCACTTCGTCGTATAAAATGGAAATATTATAAGTCAGAGAAATTATTTTTGATTTACAGTTAAGTGGCTTCGAGTGCAAAATAGCTTGATTGAACGCTCCAAATATCTTTCAGTGACTCGACTCTGCGTTAATCGATTTCAATGAAAGCTTCAGCATGCGTATAAGTTATCTACGAAACGCACTTTTTAAATTTTCGTCGCAGGCTCAGATGCAAAAGCATGAGTTTCTTATTTTCTTTTGTCGTTAAAAAAAATTAAAATAAAGTATTACAGTCATTGCCTAATAGGCTAGACCTATGTCATCTAAAAAAAGATTCAAGTCGTTTAGTCGAGTTTTAAAAAAGTTACGCCGTTTTACAAGTGTCCTTAACTTTACGACTGCATTTTACATTCTTAACAGAATAGAATGTAGAATATAGGGAGTTTTTATATTCCAACGATTCCACGGCGAATCCGTTAAGATTATCCGGTGCAACGAGCGCGTATACGTCTAACATCTTCGTTTTGAACGCTGAAAGAATTCAAGTAATTCCGTTCTAGCGTGTTCTCTTAACGTTTCAGCTGTTCCTGAACCGGGGCTGTCAGTTAATGTCGCCGGCAGCGAAAAAATAACATTCATGATTTACTTTTAATCGTAAATCTGAAATCCATCAAGGGAACAGGTACCATAAATCGGGTGTCAAACTCCGCACGACTGATTTATGCGGACAAAATGGGGCCATCTCGTTCGCAATAAATAAATAATACAGATTCGATCGGTGTACCAGGGAAAAACAAGTGTTCGGCCAGCTGTGTCCGCTCGTTAATTCGACCATGCTTCTGCGGAATGATATCCCCGTGGAAAGCAGAAAATGTTAAAGACCCGGCAACTTCTGCGAAGGATCATCGGCGGAGGGTTAAGCAGGCGGAAGTGAGTGAAAGATGGAAACGAAAATGGAGGGGAGTTCGCGTCGAATTTCCCAAGAAACTTTATCGTAACGGGGAAGCCAGTTACCTGCACTGTCCGATAGTTTAAAAGCAGAACTCGTGCTTTCGGATTCCTCGACATCGGCGATTGGTTCAAGTATTTCCTCTGCAGTGCGAGCGCGAGAGGACGGACAAAGCGAGGGTTTAAACGTCGAGAGAATGAGAGAGAGAGAGAGAATGAAAAGTCGAGTGTTACGATTAGAAGCCAGTCAGCTTTTATTGTACGCCAACGTCGGCCGATAAAAGAAAAGGAACGCTGTGCTCGTTTTGGATCATCTGGATCAGAGGTCGAGTGCGTCTTCGCCGCGTTCCTTCCCGCCGGGAATAATGGAATGCCGCTCTCGTTATCGAGCGGAGAGGGTCGGGGTTCGATCTGTGGGAAGTGGCGAGTAAACATCGTCGTCAAAGAGCCCCGTAAAATCGTGCTTTGAACGGGTTCCGTTCCGCAGTGTTGCGCGTTGCTCGCGAACCGTCGCTTTTCGATTAAAAAGCGGCGGCAAGCGGAGTCAAACGCTGACACTTGTTATTCGCGACGGAAAAGAAGGCTCGCAATTGCCCGGAAAATTACCCCGTTGCAATTACTAAAGTTACAAGGATACTTCCGCGGAAGACGTTCCGATGAATTCAGCCGGCCGTTCACGGTAGAATATTCTATTCAAAGAATAACGAGGCGAGGACCGTAATACGTAAACTGCGGACGTCTATGCAAAAACCGGTTGCAACAAACAGGAACTGCTTAAACATTTATTCCACTCTTGAATAATTTTATTAAGTCATAAATAGTAGAATCGTACCGTCCAACTTTCCCAATAATGTTGCTGTATGCATAAAATCCGCGGTTTAACAACATGCAATAATGCGAAAAACAACGTTTCGTCTCTTTGCTGGCAGCTGCCGCACGGTGTCACGATTTTCTCCGACCAGTGGAATTACGGGACACGCTCGACCGAACGAAGTTCCACCGTGTTTGAATTGAAGTCACTTAAAATTTCGGCAGACCGAATTCTGTTAATTTTGACAAGACGCGGAGCGGTCGCTTTTAGCGTCCGGCGTTCCCATTGTTTTTCTAGCGGTTCAGCGGGGACCGTGACAGAGCTGTATCCAGTTCCCGGTGGTTCTGCGGGTGCTCGATGCTCCACTATTATTAATCGATTCGGCGGGTTCGCGCGTGTCGAGGGGAACTTTCGAGTCGAACCTCGGAAAAGCTCGATATCGCGGATAGATTTTCGACGTCGCTTCGGACGTCTCCCGCTATTTTCCAGGGCATCGCGAGACCGAGAAAACAGCATCGTTCAGGCGAGCTCGTTGACGCGCTGAACCTGCGCGAAAATAAAGTTCTCGCGCGGAACGGAGAGCGTTCCCTTGATTGGCCGTCGGGCGCCAATTATCGACGGCGAAATATCACGGACGCCGCGTTCTTCTTTCAGCAATATTATATTAACGAGCGTTATTTGACAAGTTCTCGGCTAATTGCGAAGGGTGCGGGGCCGCCTCCCTTGTTCATTGGAACAGGGAGACGATTGAACGTCGATACGCGGCGCTCGCGCGATTTCGAAACGGACGCGGCAGATAAAACGGATGCCGCCTCTTTCGGGTAATTCTAGGCACGTCGGCGCGATGATTAACGCAACACCCGAACGCAATTTCCGTGTCCGCCGCCGCGTGAATGCCAGAATAATCCCTTAATCGGACTAAAATCGATGTTTTCCCTGGCGCCCGGCCAGTTATTAATTTTGCCACGTGGTCGCCCTTCGAGTGAGCTCGATGCCTCGCGCAATATGCTCCGGTGCGCCGCGAAGAAACGCTCGCCCGTTTCTGCACGGGTTTTTCGATTTTCAACCGGGCGGCAACTTTTAATTCGCTGGCTCCCTCGGCGAATCGAAGGCTCGGGAAGGGGGACAAGAGGGCAAAAGGAGAGAGAAAGAGAGAGAGAGAGAGAGAGAGAGAGAGAAGGAAAGGAAGAGACAGAGGGAGGAAAAGGGAATTGAGAGATCGTTGGTTGTAACGGTGGCACGGGGGCGGCAGCGGGAGACGGGGTAAGTACCTTTTCAGGTAGAAGGTAAAGCTGGCCGAGAAGTTAAAGGTAATGAAAGCCAAGAGGAGAGGATGGAACACAATTTGCGCGGCCCCCGGATTAAGTCCAAGTTTTTCCCTTTACAGCCCACTTTTATGCGCTTTTTATACGCCACGGATCCCGACGCTTCCTCCGACGCACGCGTGTTTACATAAATGTATGGACACGGCCGATCCGACCGGCATGAATACGGAATCGCCGATTCTGCTCGCGTTTCCACTCGCTCTGCTCCTCGGCGGCTCCGAGTTCGACGCCGGGAATTTGTTCTCGGGCTTTAATAGATAGCAGAAGAGAATCTTCGCATCCCGGCCAAGAATTCTCCGCGTTCAATCAACTAGATTCGCTGCCTAGCTCGGTGTCTTTTTTCCAGACGTCATTTATTCATTCCGTAACGATAGAGCTGAGCTACCGTTTTCAGGTAGCGACCAGAAGGTGAAAAGTTACGGGAACTTGTTGAAGAACTGGGTCAAAAAAGGACTGCGACAGCGACGTCCAAGGGTTGGGCATTAAAGGGCTGGCCTGGAAGTCTTCCCATCTGTCTTGCCGTTTAAAAGTAAGTTTCACTTCATTAAACCAATCTTTATGAAACATCTCCGAGCACGATTTATGAAGATTGCACGCTCTCCCGTTACGCTTCCCTCGCCTTATCGAAATTAATACGGAGGAGAAACGAGCGTCTCTCTATTTCCTGCGATCGGACAACGCTCGCTTCGGACAATGTTGATCTCGCATAAAGATCCGTAGCGGAATCTGCTCAGGATTCGGGCCGCAGTCGGAGTATTGCAATCCGAAGATGATGGGAGCCGCGCCGCTCAAAGCGCGGAGCAACGTCTCGAACGCGTTTCGCCGTGCAAAGTCTGCTCGCAGACAGTTGTCCAACTATCACCTGTTCCCTCATCTTCTCGACCTCTTTCAAAGCGCGGCTTTAAGCGAAGACCGTCGCGATTTCTATAAAGT